ATTTTAAAAAATTATCTTGCTGTATTTGTAACTTATCTGGGAATCTACTATGGCCAATAATGTTACCAAAAAGTGCATACCAAAAAGAGGCCAAATCCACATTGACATCTTCTATTTACTCCAGCTTCACTCCTGCCTGTTTAATAGGAAGAGGCAACCTTTGACCTAGGAAGTGTATTTGGGCCTATCTTAAATTTTATGTCATCTTTGGCCTATTTTTACCAGTTATTTACAAGTGATTGGTTCAAACCTTTGGCAAAAGCAATCTAACCTTTTCCAGTAAGGATAGGAAAGACGGGTGGGGCTAGGAGAAAGGGGAGAAAGGGCAGCACATCTCATTTCATGCTCTCCTGCCAGCAAATGCACAAACTCCTGATCTAATTATTCTTCACCCCAAGGGAATATAGGCATTAACAGAAATAAGTTCTCTTTAAAAGGGTCATCTCAGGGTAATATTGGCACTCACCACTCTGTTTATTACCATCAATCAGTAAATCCCAATTTCCTGTCTTGAGGAGCTTCATTTCTTTAATTTGTTTCTAATCTGTTTTAGAAAATAATGTTTATGATAGCTTGTAGAGAGACTTCATACAAAGATCATACTTGATTTCGTATAATTAATGGTAGGAAGAACCTTGTTACCCAGAATCTGGTTTTCATTCCATAGTTTGAAAGAAAGTTACTTCTGCCAATAAATCTTTCAGTGCAAGTAAAAATAATCGTTAGAACGATATGGTTTTATCCCAAGAATCAGTTCCAAATTATAAATGGAATTTGATCAATCTGAACCACCCTGAAGGCTTTCTGTCATGCTGCCATGACCTAGCATGTTCCACAGGAAAGGGATCTTGCAACAGGTTAAATAAAGTAGCATTGCACAATTTTCCTGAAGATTCCCCTGAAATGTAAATGTGACAGTCTGAGAACTTCATGCTGGTTAATGTGACTGAAAGAGCAGCTAATGGTGTCTGACGACACCAGATCAGTTTTTGCTCACAAAGCTAGTATTTCTAATGAATGCTAAAGATTTCCCTAATATACAATACATCAGATTTTTGACACACATATACATACATGGCCTGCAGTGACTCAGCAGGCTGGGGGTGGTGTGGCTAACATTGCAAGGGTATTGTAAACTTGCCACTGTTACTGGTTGTCATAGCCACCAGTTCATTCACAAAACCAAGAATATAAAGTCAGACAATTAAAAACAATATCAAGGATATACATGTATCCCCTCCATTAAAAGACCCCCCCCCCAAATCTGCAGTTGCCAGTATAAAAAGATACCTTTAAAAAAACCCTCCAGTAGTTACTCTCAAGAAATGCTGCAATATTATATTGGATATATATTGAAAAATGGCAATAAAAAAAACTTGGTCCACAAAATATTTTACCAAAGCCTATATATACATTTCAATAGAAATATCATCCACAGGTTTGGGCTATCATTATTAGACTGATTATGTTGGTAATGTTTAAAAGTATAATTTCAGAAGACTTTACATGTTGCAGCATTTTGTCATAGAAAATCTTAAAAAGATTCTCATTCCACTTGTAGCAATAATAATTAAGCATGTGTTCTTTCTTTAGGTGTTAGTAGATAGCTGTTCTTTACATTGCATTAAGGTGCGTTAATATTCTAATTTACAATATTTTTAAGATAGATGAAAGCTGACATTGAAATCCACCAACCTACATAGAATTGTATACAAAACAGCAAATTTGTATTAAGCACATGGCTTAAACTATCAACTTTGCAGCTTGTTCTGTGTACTTCACTGTTAGCAACCGTTAACAGACTTTATTTAGAAGAAGCACATTGAATAATTCTATTTAATAAAGGACACCATAGCCAGAGAAAAATTCTGTGTACTGAGATTGGGGGACAGTAATCTGGATCTGTAATTTAATATAAACTGACTTAATTTGCACTTCCTAAATATGAACCAGCATGCATCTACTCTTCCATTTTTGCTCTTGCCTGAATATTGGATTGTAGTTCTTTTATAAAAGCAGGTGCATAAAAATAAATACATTAGGAAACATTGCAGATAAAAAGACATGCACTAAAGAAGATTACAACCTAAACCATCTGTTTTTATATAGATATTTTAAAAACCTACACCAACAGATGTGAAAAAAAGATACAGTAGAGGGAAGTTGTAGGAAGCAAAATAGACTGGTTTATAGATTATAACATTTTTCCATTAGAATTGTGTATGTAGTACTTTGGCAAACCACAAGGGGTCACACAATATTTCTATATCCATTCTGAAAAATTCCTTGCTAAATATTTTTTTTCATACAAACAGTGCAGGTTGATATCACATAGTAACCAAAAAATCAACAGGACAAACTAACAAGGTGTTGTTGTTGTTGTTTGTGCCATAGCATTAACAGCATGTGAAATCTGCTATCACCGTTACCCAAACATTCTTTTTAGTGTGCAATTTATGCTGAAGGCTGGAGAAATCATCTGTGAAACAGCAATGGTTTCTGAATCATCATTAGAATCCCAGGAAAATTTAGAAGAAATGGAGGATAAAGCAGTTCTTGATACAGTAGGTAACACATAATTGATGTATGATATATGATACATCAAATAGCATTACCATGATTAAATAAGTATGGTTAGTAATTTATTGTTTTAACGTTTTAATGATTTTGTTATGTTTTTTGGTTGTTTTTTGTATTATTTTTTGGGTTTTTTTAACGTTGTAAGTCACCCAGAGCCACGGAAGTGATGGGTAGCTATAGAAACAAATAAATAAATGCTTGTCTTGCTGCTTTTAAATTTAATTGGATTGCCTACAAAACAAGTTTGAAGGCCATCTAAAGTTATATTTGAAGTTATATAGGATTTAGAGGCTGCCTAACTCCCAGACAACTCTGGGCACCTTACAGTGTAAAAGTAGGAAACAATAAAAGGAAAAGGAGAAATAAAGTATTTCTGGAGAAAACAAACCCTAAACACCAGAAAAAGAAAACTAATAGAGGCACGTCAACCACCCTAACCCTAGGTCTTAGAGCAGTGTTTTTCAAACTTGGCAACTTTAAGATGTGTGACCTTCAACTTTGGAACTAGGCCAAAGTCAGCAGTGTTATTGGCTCATTAGTTCATTTATCCATATACTACTCAAACTGTCGTGTCTGTAACCTTCAACTGGGCGAAATGATGCATCATAGGGCAACAATTTTTGAACCAAGGTACCTCAAATGGGCTAACTTACAGAATGTGTTCAAAATCCAGGACTCATGGCTCCTGTGGAATTTGAATTTGGGAAATTTGTGGCTGCTTCAGCACTGCTGTGCTACTGCACCATTGTGGTCTGGCCAGGTCATGTGATTGTCATGGGCATATCTCCAACCTCTTTCTTACCTCCTCCTATCCCCTGTGCCCAATTGGCTGGTGGCAAGGCCCGATGGGCAAGGGGCAATTGGCTGTTTTGGAAACGCAGAAATTTGAAATCTCTTAACAGCTGTGGGCATTGAGGGAAGGATGAGGGAGTGATTTGGATGTCTGCTGGTGAGGTAGGGCTGGCTGAGAGGCACTGGTCAATGGGTGCACCCTCTTCTTCCCTCAAGGAAGGGGTCCCTTGGGGACATGCTGGAATGGGGAGTGGGGGTGCAGTTTTCCTCATGGTCTGTGGCTCCCTTTGTTCTACCTCCCCGCAGCAAAGTGGCAAGCAGTTCTGCTGGTCAGCTGAAGAGGAGGAGGAGGAGGAGGAGGAGGAGGAAGCTTCACTGGAGCTCTCGTGAGGTCATGAGGGGAGGGCAAATGGCACAAGCCTATATTATATGTGGAAAGGGAGGGAAGGAAGGAAGGAATCTCTGACCAAGGAAGGGATTCCCACCTCTTTCCTGCCTCCCTCTGGCCCCTGTGTCCAATTGGCTGATGGCAAGGCCTGATGGGTGAGCGGCGATTGGGTGCTTTGGACCTGAGGAAGGAGGGGTGGGAGGGAGGGAGATTTCTGATGCTCCCTGCCAGTTTCCCTCAAGCAAAATCAATGGGGGAGCCAGCAGCAAGTTGCAAGTCGCAAGTCGCTCCCACTCCCACTGCTTTTTTGCCCTTGGTCATTCTGTTTCTCTGTTTAGGTAAGGAAATATCTCTGAAACAATGACCCAACGGGTCATGGGTTGGTATTACCTAATCCTCAGTGGCAATCCGCCAGTTAAAGCTGCCAAGTTTGAAAAACACTACCTTAGAGCAAAGCCAGGTTTTCAGAACAATTGCAGGTAGGAGCCATATGGATCTCTGGAGGGATGCTCTTCTAGGTAGCATGATAGAGGTGTGTTACCTAGGTCCTGATAGATGATACTGTATAATTGAAGGGACCTGGAGCACAGCCACTCTGCCCAGTCTTACTGAGCAGGCAGAAACTGTTGGACAGTCCCTCAAATAACCATATTCAAGCTTTCCTTTGAACCTTTCTTTTGAACTGAGAGGCACCCTTGACATGTACTCTTAAATAAAAGCAGTGGATAGACGAGAGGGTTTGTCAGGCCACAGACAAAGAAAAAGGCAGAGGTAGAGTCTAAACTTCAGGTTCCAAATTAACAGAACCAGTTAAGCTTCAGGAAATGACAACTGATTTACAGTGCCTTGTGAGATTATTTGTTGTTAAAAATAATTCGCTGGTGCTATGATATACAGTATGTTTCTAATGCCAGCAGGTTCTGCTTAGCCAACCAGCAACCCTACACGTGTATGGTGCTGACAGATTTGATGTTTGCTATTCTGCATGATTGAAGATATCCTCCTGCAACACCCTGTAGTGGCCATGGGTGATTTCTTTTAGTGAATCATGATATTGACTGCTGGACTTTTTCTCATCAGCTGTACTGCCATAGTGAACACTGCTTTTACCCCGATAAAACAAATCTAAGAGACCTCATAGTAATGCTGCATACATTAGGAACACAGGGAGCTGCTTCAGTGATGCTAGACTGTCCATCTAAACCTATATTGGCTGTTCCAATCTTCTTTACAAGGTCCCCCTGCAATGAGTCGCACTTCAAAATATAAGCCTTCAATTTGATAGTAAAAAAAAAGTGAATTAGCCAAAGTAGTTAAAAGTCTAGCATGAATGAAAGACAGCAGCTTTGGAGATACCTGATATATTCTGATTGAAAACAATAGGTCTGTGCAAGCTTCAAACATGCAGAGTCACAGATCTATAGAACATCAAATGAAAATGTCCTGTTCTCTTAATACAGAGTTTATATCCAGCTTTACTATTATTTAGAACCAGCCTAAACACTTGTCTTAGTGAGAATGGGATATTCGGAAAGCAAAGAATAAGTGCTTATTGGCTTCGCTGCTGCTTCAGAAGAAATGCAAGTTTCCCTGAGAGGGCAGGTTTCCCATCAGTTTATGGCAAGAGACTATGGTGTCTTTGCTTCAGGAGAAGATGGGAAATCCCATGATTTGGGAGATGGGACAAAGCATGAGTTGCTGCCAATGGAGGATCCTCCACCCCATAGCACTGAAGAAACAAAGGAAATCTGCATTTATCCCAAAGCAGCAGTTGATAAAGTTAACTCCTGCACTTAATTGACTGACTGAAAACCCCACAGCCTCATGGAGACATGCAATAACAGTGCTGATTAAAAATGGTGCCACCCCTGCTTACAGAGAGGCCCTTGTTTGTATCCTGATCTCACAGTGCTTGAGTGAATGCAGTGCAGAAGCTAGAACAGCTCTTCTGTGTATTTCAGCATGAGCTAGAAAGGAAAACACAAGGGATAGATTATGGACTGGAAATTATTTTGTTTTAAATGACCCAGGATTCCTGTTAAGAGATCTTTCACTCTTCCTGGCTTCCTAGAGGGTGCTACAAAGATGTGTTCCACAATTTCAAAAAGTTTGAGGAATAATTTATTGCAAAGCACAATTTAATATACTGTAGAAACTGAGATCCATTAATAGTAATTGAATCACCATCCTGATATTTTTAGCTGTCTCTTCAATAATGTCTCTGAAATCTTTTCTGCTCTGTTACTTTTTAGAGAGATTTGAAATTATGCCAGAAGAATGGCAGTTGTTTAAATAAGGAAAATAAAAATAGACTTATAAAAGCAGGCTGTAATATGGAACTGAAACATGGAGGTGGATTTCATCTATAATTCAACCCACATAATTGCTATGAGGATGGACTACATGTAGAAACATCAGGCACAAGTGGTTATGAGGAGACTTTTGTTTGTATGCTAAACATAAATACTTATAAAGCCTTCTCATATTCAATATATGTGTCAGCCTTTCCAATTTAAGTACTTTTTGAAGCAATTGGTTTTACAGGACAATGAAGAAGCCTTTGTATCAGCCTGAAAGTGCAGTTTTGTTCATGAATTTCTTCCTCCAGCAATTCAGAAGCACCTTGTTCCCCAAAATCCCACTAGTCTTATGAAAAAGATGCTCTTCTTTTTATATGCTCAGTTAAGATGAGAATGTATTCAGAATTACTAAACCAGATTAAGAATATTGGGCATCCTTTTTAATCCATATGTTGAACTAAGGCAATAATACAAGCAAGTCTCCCTATTCCTAGACTACACTGTTGTTACAGCATAAAAATTATAAAACAAACGTAAATCAAGTATCCCCCCAATTATAGAAGTTGTAGATAGTACGAAGTTGTAGTTAGGTCATATGTAGGGGAAAGTAAGTGTAGAGCTCTAATGTTTCAGTTTATTGTTTTACACTTTTCTGTTAAAATATTAAACACACAAGATTAAAGAGAAATCAGTACAAATTAATATTTTTGCTTGATTGAAACAATTGCCACTGAAGTTTCATCTTTCATTATTTGAATGTGACAAATGGAATCACAATCATTAAGTGAAATAGTGATATTGAGACACAAGCTTTTGTATCTAAAACTAGGTAATCTTGATCCAGATGTTCTCATTGTTAACCATGACAAATTTCAAATTATGTCTTCTGTTAATTTATATAAAATTTCATAACATCATTTGCATTTAATTAAAAATAAATTTTAATTAAAACTTCTGGAGTAGTTGCTTTTTATTCTTTGGTTGTGGATGATCCCTAATGTGACCCCAGTAGTTGCTTATGACACAATATATTTTAGGGGAAACATCATACAATCCAAAAACTATACCCCCCACCATCTTTTGCAATATTGCAGAGATTCCTGAGAATCTTTTGGATTACATGTATATGGTATGCATTCTTAAAGTAGCACAGTGTTGTATGTTAAAGAATTTGCAGACATCAACAGAATGTCCAGTTGCAGAATGACCTCTCATTTGTTTTCACATGTAATGCATTCTTATGCCGTTTATCAGATCAGATTACAGGCAGTATATTTGGAGATAGATAAAGCAACTATAAGACATTAGGGCTGTGGTCTGACTCAGTCCAGTTTTCAAATCCAAGTCACCCTTACTATTGTTTGTTCTAATTGCAGCCTTTTGGAGTGGTGGTGAGATTGTGGTGCGTTGAGAGTGACAGAGCTGCATCTATTCATTGTACAAACAGCCCATCATTTCTCTTTATTGCATAGAGAATATTTGAATGGTTCCACATGTGAAGCTACTCTCTGTTGCAAATAACTAACTGATTTTTTGTCATCCTATTTTCCATACTTATTTGACCAATTCTTGCTTCGTCTCCTTAAATTATTTTAAATCCAATTTTCCCTTCCTTTTTTTTCTCCCTCTTTTCCCTCCTTTTCTACATCAGCAAATATTCTAGGTTCTAATATTTTATTTAAAGAAAATAGATATTCATTCATTTATCCTCTCAAATCATTAATTAGCTTTTTTTTTTTCTGTGTAAAGCTATAAATAAGACAGATGTGTGGGTGTTCTTCCTGTCTTTTTTTTTAAAGCAATATCCTCTGTCCCTCTTTCCAGTCCCATTTTGGCTCTGTTGATAAGTATATGTAAGTTAGCATATTAGGCAGTGCCATCAAAGAGAACAAGGATGGTGGTAAAAACAGAACTCAGTCAAACTGTGCAGGCCAAGTATTACTGGGACTTTTGAGATTCCTACTGAAGTGATCTGAGTTAGCAGTTATTACAGATAAAAGGCTGTGTAGCTTGAAACTCCTATGCACCACTTTCTACTACATCTGGACATTTTCATCCCCTCATAATGATCTAACTTCTCTGCAAACTTTATCCTATGCTAATAAAATCCACAAATGGTATAACCACCATTAAGAAATCATGATTTTTCTATGATAGATAATAATGGGTAGAGCTCCATTTTTCTTGATTTGGAATTGGAATTGGAAACAAGTTGCAGTGGCTACATCCCAGACTCTCACAAGCTGGATTGGGAAGCTTCCAGAGTAGGGGTCCCAATCATAAAGTGTGATGGGGAGTCCACCCACATTTCTGCTTAAAAATAATGCAATGCAATGAAATACTAGCATCAGATAACATAATGAATCACAGCAAATGAAGGATTTTATTCTTTTGGCTGTTCTTGGGTCTTTTTTTGAAAAAGAAAATAATACCAACCACAAAATCCAAAAACACAAATGTATAAGGAAGATGAAATTAGAGGAATTCTGCATGAAAATATAATACTAATAAAAACAAATATTATTGTGTAAAAAAGACATGCAAATCTTTGGGGAGAATTGCCAATTAATTTTGTATTTGCAATGTCATATTAATGGATTTAACTTTTTTTTGGTAGACATCCACGAATACCAGCACAGGAGCTGAGTTAAATTCCAAACAAAAGCATTTCAGAATTAAGCCATTTCTTTGGCACAGCCTTCTTCTTTGGGTTTGTGTACATAACAGCAGCTCTCAAATAGATGAAGTCCTCATGCATGTCCTATTCTATAAGGAACAGCTTCATCAGAAAAACTGGTAAGGGCAACTTTATTACTTGGTATAATCTTGATGGAAGCAACTTTTGTGCTGAAATGTTAAATAACCTTTATGCCTAAATGTTAATCACCCTGAAGTTGCCTGTCAAAGAGATTTACAATTTTTGTGCCAGAAAGAGAAGCAATTTATGTACTTTGTACTGCTTCACTTTATCTAGAAATTGTTTACTTTTATTAAATTATGTCTGTTATTGATAGCAACTTCATTTCATGATTTCAAAGTACAGTAATTGTCACATAACTAAACAGCTGCAGTGGAATGTGCCAATCATTCTTCTGGGACCGATACTTGCCTTCATTTTTGGGTGCTCTTTATGCAAAGTATAATAAAACTAATTTTGCATGCTTACAATTAATTTTATGCTGGAACTGTATTCTTGATTGCTTCTGTTAATTGAAGCCTCAACAAGTTATAATTGCGAACTGCACTCATTGGAACTTTGCCTTATGCTGAACGTTAAGCTATTTTGCTAAGAAGAAGCTTCTCAGATATTCAAAATTATATGGATTTATAGAAAAGCTAAAGATATCCTTGTTCTATGATTTTGGTCTGAGAACTTTTTGGTGGGTTTAAAAGTTGGCAGAATGGAGGAAAAGAGCAATTATCTTTGAGGATTACTTTGTATTTCTTATGTTTAACAATATGGAGGAATGCCAACTCAGGTTATGAGTCAGCTGAATATCAGTTGGATGTGCATGGCTTCCATTTAAAAACACCTTCCATGGTAACTTTAATTTTATGCAGAGCCATGAGTTTCATTTCCACTGAATGGCTGAGGGAGCATGAAAGAAATGTGGCATGATTCAAGCTGCAATTACAAATGTTTTAGGTGACAAACAGCAGTGTGAAGCAAGGGAGAGGTCACACTGTTTTGCTCGGCAGCTTTAAGGAGATGCTTAGCTTAATCCTTTAGTAAGGCAGAGCATCCCTTGAAATCTGCACATCTCTAATGAGGATTGTACATGTGTCGAGGATCTGGAAACCCTGGACAGAAGTTAGGGGGCTTAGTCACAATGTCAGTATCTTGACAGGGGAGTTATTAGACTAACCTCACTGAGCAGTGGAAGGCAATACTGTAACTATTGCCCAGGCATCAAGAGACACTTTGCTGATTCTGGTCTGGCTCTTCATTGAGTGACTTGTTCATATAAAGAACACCCATCTCTGCTTAATTGCCTGCTAGACCATATGCTGCCTCCAGGCTAGTAGACAATATTTATAACAGTAATATCTAAGGATCCACAACATCAACATAACTTAGTGAAACAAATTCAAGACAAGTTATTTCTAGTGTTTCTGTGTAAGCAAATGTTTGTAAATTCTAGAATACAGAGACCTGCTTGTTTATTTATTTTTGCTTTTTTCTCTGCAGAGTATTGTGCACAGTAGTAGAATTCTATTTCTATGTACATTAGACCCATTGATTTTTTATAAGACCAAATGTTATGGCTAATTTGGATCATCATTACTCTTATTATCCCTGAAACAATGAGAATCTACACTTATTTCTGATTTGTTGGCTTAATATTGGTAAGCAAAAGAAAGAAAAGAAAAGAAAAAGCTCCATGTTCTGAGAAATGTACAGTCTTTGTTAATGAGCCTGAAAATGCTAATGGTTAGGTGGTGCATTGAAGTTAAGGAATTTACCCGTAATTGGATGTTTTCAAGATGGAGCACCTAAAGACATGCTTGGAAATATTATCCATAGGTATATTTTTATCTGAGATAGTTATAGGATGCAGCAGAGCATACTACATTCTTCATAAATGCATACAATGGAATGCTTAAAAAATATAACCACTCTCTGCCCATCCTTTTTCTTTTCTTTTTTCTTTTTTTCTTTTTCATGTTTTTGAGAAAATACTAAGTCTTTAGGGAGGGTACTTACACTTGACTAGTGACCTTGTTTTTGTTGTTGTTATTTCTGTATAGTTAAACTTAACTTTGCTTCTCAGTTACTCCAGGATGAAAACTTGCTTTAATATGAAATACACTAACTTAAACCACAGCACTGGCTTTAATTTAACTTTTCAAAAATGCTAGTCTTTGCTACTTACAAATTACAGTGAATAGCTGTAGAATACAAAAGCATGTCAAATAGAACCAATGGTGGATTTGCTTGATGTATATTCTTTTTCTCTTTGAACAACCTGAGTTAATTCATAATAATAACCAACTTGTGAGATGCTTCCTTCCCCGCACACTCTCTTGGTATTGGCATGAAGTGGAGTTCTCATTCCTAATAAGTCAACAGTTCTGTAGTTTCATGAGTTGCATACATTTAATACACGAGGAAACATTCTGTTGCTTTAAGACATGTTCCCTTCAGAGTTGTATTTAATCATTATTTACTTTCCATTGCACAACTTAGGAGTGTTTTTTCTTCTTAGTGTTCTGCTGCTCAACATTAATATTCTTATTTTCTGGTGACATGTGTCAAATTTGGCTTTTGATCCCCTGTGGGGAATTTGGCTTTTTCTTTACTTTTCTGCTGCAATTGCAGAAGTTCTTAATGAGGGCTTTTATTGCTTACATGTCCTCTTTAGTTTGTGCATATCTAATTATAATAATGTCTCTATAGTAAAGCGCTTGCAAAATGAAATCAATAAAGACTTAGTGCTGCTTCCAGTATTCATAGGCTGACTTGATCATTGCCTTTAGAGAGCAACTGAATAAAACAAATTGTTGAATCTTCTTTCTTTCCAGACAAGTTTGAGCAAATAGCTTATTGTCCAAAACATAATGTGAACAACATAAGTTATAGTCAATTCCAGTGTGCAAATACTGTACAGAAATATTTATTGGAAGGATGGGCACAAGCACATGCAGATTAGGCAGATTAAGACCTGCACCCTGTTGGATTTATTTTTTAAATACAAAGTTATTTTGGACATTGAGTGTACCCCCGTAGTTTAGTCAGCCATTATTCTGAAGAGGGAATCAAAGGTCTTTTTCAGTAAAAGCCGTATAAAATCCTTGCAGCTGTTAACATATATGAATATCTATGGAAGGAAAATAAGTGGTGTGAATTTACAAATGATCACCTGAAGAACTAAGTTACAGATAAGTAAGCAAATGGTTTAATATTTGGAGGAGGATAGATGCTCATAAAATGAAAGACGGGGTCCCTCTGGGCCTACAGCTAGAGCCTGTAGTGTTAGATAAAAGTTGAATGGCTGCTCAGTATAGTCCTGTGAGGGGATTTGGAGCAAAAGATAGTGTACATAAATTGCTATCGTTTTCATGGAGTGGCCCTATAGAAAGAGTGGGAATTGATCAGTCAGACCATAGCAGAGTCTTATGACAGTTCAGTCCATTTAAAACAATTTTGAAGAGGTAGCCCCAGACTCTTGCATGGCCCCTGGAAGCATGTGAATGGGAGCTACTCTCCCCAGAAATCCACCAATTTTTTTCATGAGATCAAGGGTCTTTCAAATAGCATTCTAAGGTTGGGATAATCTGTGCAGAATTATATTCTGACTGAGATGGAAGGCAGATTTGTTGGCAGAAAAGAGATGTCAGGATATAGAATTAGCTTGTCTTTATACACAGCAAGATATGCATGTTGATTGGGGAATGCACAACTCATTAACATGCCTGGCAAATATCACAGCAATGAGAAATGTAATCTTCCAGGACAATAAAAATATGCTGTATGACTATATGTTCAAATAGCTTCAACATAGTCCTAGATAAGCTACCCCCACAAAAATTAGTAGAAGCTGCTCCTAGGAGCATGCAGGGAGTAGGGCTCCTGCCAAGCATTCCTAAGCTCCATGCAAGTGCAGCACCAGTTTGTATCAAGCACAGTGACTATGAGGAAGAATAATACATATGCTTTCTTTACTGCATCTCTTGCATTCCTTGCCTGTGCTGCTTCAGGCAAAGGCATTATTTATATTTCCGTTTCTTTCCCCAAGTTCATTAGATTCATAGGTTGGATTTATACCGCTATTATATACTGCTATTATATCAGTTGCTTCACACTTAGAATGGACATATGCTTTAACATACTCTTCTGATGCCGTTTCCCCTTAAAAATCTGTGCTTTTCCTTACCGCTTTTATTATAGTTCTTTTGATCAGTCACAGCCAGTGAGTACTTTGAGTTTCAGAACTGCAATACTGACAGGATCCTGGGGACAGTACACATTATTTATATAAGCAGAGAAAATGGAATCATTTTTTAAACTTATAAATTTATGGTCAAAGGAAAAAAAAAGAAAACGCAGTAAGAGTAATAAAATGGATTAGGAGGAAGAACAATTGAGATGAAGTAACAGGTAAAATAGCTTAAAATTCAGTAAGATACAATGAAGTGTTTCAATATATGTGTATAAACAGCAATAATAAGACAGTAAATAGTATTGAGAAGCTATCTTTATAATCCCCCAAGCAATCAGCTACTCCAGGCTTAAACAAGTTTAAAGCCATTAGCTTCTGATGGCATTGCAACAGAACAAAATTTAGCAGCTTTCTTAGACGCTTCAGTGGAGTTGTCTACTAATAAGAAATGTACAATCTCAGACTTTGGCCAGCCGATACTCCAGTCAAGAAGAGGGTGTATCAGAACTAAACACCAGATCTGATATAGTGGGCAGTACAGCAGAGTGTGAGCTGTTGATTCAGTAGCTACTTCCAAGCATGGTGATCTAAATAGGGGATATTATTATCCACAAGCTTCAACAATAGGGCATTAAATCTTGCTAATGTGAATGGCTTTCCATGTGAGTGGGAAAGTACCTCCAAAATAGCTGGAAATAGCAGAAGGGTTGAGGTAGAAATTCCCTAAAGAATTATTTTGGAAATTGGATCTGTCAGTTTGTAAATCAAGAACTAAAATGTGTTACTTTCCTTCAGAAATAGCCCATTGCCATTAGTACTTGGGCTGATATGCTAGAACAAGAAAGATAATTGGATATGGCTTCCCTCCAGAAAGAACTGAATTTGTCCTATAAGACCAAGATGGATCAAAGAATT